AATGACTTAACTGACAAAGACTATATAGTAAATGAAACCCACTTGTCACCTGCTCCGCCATTCCATGCCTGCCGCACCTTGTACAGCACCGGAATGGTGAGTGCAACGTCCTACACATACCTGCATGGAGGTTAGCGTATTAACCTCCGGTGTGGTCCGCATTACTGCGGTGGCGGTCAGCATTACCTTGGTGCGGTGCACTCGCAGTGGTAGGGGTTGAACAGGACTGCGAGAACGCATAATGGACGCATTTCGTGTCGTCGATTGTCGTAGTCGGTGTCCAGAGCGTCCAGTTCCAACATGTCCGCTTCATCGCTATCGCATGATCCGTCGTCCGAAGTAGGAATTTCTCAAACGCTACGGCCGTCTTGCAAGACAACGACACACGCGTGACGAATGTTGCATAGCCAGACGTGACACCGCTATGACAGAGTGCAAGGCCTAAATTGTGACACCAGTGACAACGTGCAAGCACGCCTAATGGCGTGGTATTGCGCTAGCTAGGAGTAAGATGTGTAATAACCATCTGTTTTGCGAAACTACAAAATGAATGTCCACATTGAATAGAAATTAAACTCGCGTAAACTTGAATAAAGTTCGTATTATTTTCAATCGTGTTTGACATTGTTGACAAGTTTTCCACTAGCCTGGTTACATCAAAAAAGGCGAATCTGGGAAAACCGGAGCGGAAAATGGGTACATATAAAATGCGAACCGAACGATTATGAAGGGTACGCCGTAAACAACCAATGTCGACACGATTACACCCAATGTGCAAAAACTCTTGCGAGCTTTTAGGTCAATAAGGATCACAGTTATCACTACTTGACTGCACTCAAATTACATTATGTATATTTATTATTTCGAGCAACAAAACATCTGAGATGAGCATTTTCATATATCATTTATTCGACTCAGACAAAATAAACATAGCTCACACTCACCAGCGCGGTGACAGTTATCCTGAATCGATCACCACATCTACACCACTATACAGAGACTCCGAGCTAATAATGGCCCTACACACGCGGCGCCACAGCGACGTTAACGTATAAGAGAGAGATACTAGAACTGGCTCGCTATCAATTATGTAACCAATATTACATAAGCACAGATGACCGGGGCCCAGTGCAAATATTTACAGCAATGGATAAGAAATATTGGTAATATGGTCCCACATATTTATCGTACAAAAAACGGCATCTTTAAACGACAATAAACCGATAAGTCGAGGTTTTAAGTGCGTTATCAAAACCATCTAAGCATCGTATATCGAGAGTATAATTACAAAAACTATCGGCGAGGTGATCGTGTTACGTGGGTCATCGATGATTGGGCTACACATCTACCCTGCCACGCCAGCGCTCAGGTCACAATATAAAAAAACATTTGTTTGCCCTGCACGACCCAGGCTGAAGTTGCGCGGTAGGTAGTAGGCCTCTTCTTTGTTTGAGGAGGGTCTTTTCCAAATTCAGCATCGGTGTCTACATGCTCAGGGTGTGCTTGTATGCGAGATACCGTTTATGCTGAAGTTATTTTGCTTGGACATATATATGTATGCCTACGGGTTTGGTGTGAGTCTTGTAAAAAAAAAGAATGGGAAAAGATCATAAAAATTTTTTTGAGTCGCGGCCCCTTTTGGCCGGGTCGGTCGGAGTGAGGGCAAACAAAACAATGTTATTATGGGCCTCTACCTCCTCCGTCTCCTGTATCTCTCCGCAGAGCCGACCGCCGCCGGGGAGTCGTCTCCGCACAGCTCGGACAGTCTCGACGGCCGCCGCGCCACCGTGCGCCGCAGTGTCCGCCGATGCGCGCTCGGTTTGCCGGCGGTGGCGAGTGCTCCTCCGTAACGGCAGCCTCATTGCACGCAGATCATCCTCACTTCACCCTGCAACCACGCAATAAAACACGGGTCGTCATGGCGACGCTTACGCGATGCCACCAGTGTTGTAGGCTCGGCGCCTTGAGGCCGGTATTCTTTGGTCTCGCCTCCGCCTCAAAGTGCCAGTGAACCTCGAATCGGCACTTGGACTCAGGACATCGCAGCCCTCCGGACTCGAGGCCTACTTAACATAGTAATTAATCTGTAGCCGTATTGTAAACGTGCAGTTTACAATAATTTAACAACTAAAAACTCCTATCCTAATATCAACAAGTGACAGATCCAGGAAGGCAGAAGACACCCCCCAGTTTTTGAACAAACACATACATAGAAGTGAGGCGGCCTTGTCGTCATGTGCCCCGCCCCCCCCCCCTTTAAAAAAGAAAAAATGCAAAACCTGGACTCAAGACTTGGTGGTGGACTCTGACTCGAGTGGTGCGCGACTCAGACTCGGACTGGGGGGGGGGGGTGCAGACTCGGACTCGGACACTAAATGCAGACTGCAGATTGTACTAAATGCAGACTGCAGATTGTACTAAATGCAGACTGTACTAAAATGCAGACTGCAGATGCAGATTGTACTAAATGCAGACTGCAGATTGCACTAAATGCAGACTGCAGATAATAAAAGCTGACTTTTACGATTCAATAGAACGCACCTTTCTTTCGCTGGTTCCTTCTCGCGTTCCTGGTCTTTCTCCCGTGCCGCCGCCAGAGTCAGCTCTCTGTCGTTGCTGTTGCTCGAGGAAGCATCCCTGTCTCTGCCGACAGCAACCTCCTTCTCCTTGTTAACGGCTCTCTCCTTCCTCGGCTCGTCGTCTCTCTGTCCTTCTCCTTCTCTCTCGGCGGCGCGCCTTCTCGCTCTCGACCGACGTCTCTGTCCTTGTCGCGCTCCTTCTCCCTCGCAGAGGAGCCCGCGTCCCGCTCGCGATCCCTGTTGCTCGACTCTCTCTCGCGCTCTCGCTCTTGTCCCGGCTCAGCTGCTCACGCTCCCTCTCTCTGTTGGATCCGGAGCTCTCTCTGTTCGCTGCATCCCCCGTGTCGCGCTCCTTATCTCTGGAAGAGAACTCACGCTCCCTCTCTCGTTCGCGGTTGTTCTGGTCTCGGTCGCGCTCCTTGTCCCTGCTGGCCTGATCTCGCTCCCGCTCACGCTCTCGCTCTCTGTCTCGGTCTCTGTCGCGTTCCTTCTCCCTGGAGGGTAGCTCTCTGTCCTGCTCCCTCTCCCGATCTCGCTCCTTCTCCCGACCTTGCAGCTCTCTCTCCCTCTCTCTACTTCCGACTAGGTCCCGATCTCTATCCCTCTCCTTCTCCCTGTTTCCCGACTCCCTCTCCCTGCTTCCCGCCTTATCCCGGTCCTTCTCCCGAGCGCCCGCCGGCAGCTCCATGACTCTATCCCGCAGGATCGACGGCAGGTCGCGTTCCCGCTCCTTCATGCGAGCGCGACTCTCCGACGACTCCACGCTGGAACGCGCGCTAGATGCGGCGAACGGCTTCCCGCCGCGCCGGTGCCCGCCGCCCCAGCCCGGCGCTCACCGGCTTCCATGCGCGCGCGCGCGAACCTCGCCCGCTCCGTCTGCACGGCGCGCGCGGCGAGCGTCGCCGACGATGCTGCTGCTCGTACCGCAGCTTCTTATCGGCGTGCGACCAGCGGCGGCGCCATCCGTTGTGGGCGGCTCGCCGTAATCGCCCGGCCGACGTCGCGCGCGACCGCTCGCTGTCCCCACGCGGACGCCATCCTCCGCTGCTGGCGTTGCCTGTGGTGCTGGCCATGCGCGATCGCTCCCGAACTTGCCGTCGCGTTCGCGCGAATGCTCGCGGCAGAGCGCTCCCGGCGCGCGCGCTCCTTGTCCGCCGTCGGCGCTCGAAGGTGCGGCGGGCCTCTCCTGCGACGCGTCTCGTCGCCGGGCAGTCGCGCGCCTCGACGACCGGCTCTCTCGTGGTCGGAGCGACGGAGTGCGGCGGCGGGGTGGCGGGCCCTCCCACAGCGCGCTCCTGCGACGCCTGCGCAGAAACACGTGCTTGAGCGTTCACAGACAAACATGCGGTTACGAGCGTAGGTGTCAAGTTAGCATATTTATAAAATTACACTAATTTATAATCATAATAAAACATCGTCGAGATGAATTATAGTTATATTTATAGTTACATAATCACAGGTACGACAAATTATATCGTTGATAATTATGACGACGCGTTAGTCCAATGGAATGCAAATCGCTACATGTCATAAAGTCAATGGCGATGACAACGAGACTGCTCATAGTGTGACAGATTGTCATCAATGTATCAGGGTGACAATTCTTGTCAAGGTGACAAATTCTGTCAGCCTACAGATCGATCGATGAATAGACAGTGAAATGCCACGACAACTGGGCAGACAGACATTCAGCGTGCACACACAAGGCTACTAACATGATTCCGATAACAATCGACAAAAGCTGGCACGCTGCTACAGGAAACTGCCGAACACCTGTGAGTTCTTATCCCACTGCTGTTGTTTGCTGCGCTGTGCTGCTGCTGCTGGCTGCTGGATGGGCTGCCTGCGACGACTGGTCCCCCTGAGGCCGCGCCACTCTGTAAGCGCGGGGGTCCCAACACGGTCTGCCGGGGCGGCCTCCCGCTGCTCGGCAAGTGGTCGCACCGGCCATAGCCTGCTGGCAACGCGGCGTGGGCCACCAGCCCTCCGGCAACACGGCTAAAACACGAGCGTGCGTATCAGCTCACTGTTCCGTGGCGCAGGCGCCGAACTCACGGCGGCACATCGGACCACCTTGTAGGAGCGTTCCATCCGTATCTAGAGCGATGGGATGTATTGTGGGCGAAGACATGGTTCATAGCAGGACTGAAATTTTTCAATGACTTTCAGTACATATTATCGGAAATTCAAGGACATTTTATCACACATTTTATCTGAAATTCATACACCAGAACAACATACCTGCTTAATTTATAACCCCATTCTTAATCACTGCATGTCTACGGCTCTAAAACATCCGCCTGGATCACATTAATAAACCCTATTCTAAAAGCACTGGTCCAGCTTCTACAACTACGCTTGATTACTGACTGATTTTATACAACTAGTAATTTGTGATGCATCATTTAACTGTCTATCGTGTCTATACTTTTTAAGTTCTCAGTTAACGCAATTTTTATGAGGTTTGCACAATTATTGATGGTACAAAAATTTCCTTTTTATTACAGGCAAGGATTCTTTCTAAAAATTCAAGGACATTTTCATGAAGATTCAAGGACTTTTCAACAGAAAATCAACATTTACTAATCAAGTACTTTCAAGGAATCCCCCAAAATTCAAGGACTTCAAGTCAGCTTCTGCTACAGTCGCATGTTTACAACTAGCGTCGATGTGGGCCATTGTGGAAACAGATGTTGTAATGCCGCACAATAATTATTATGGCACAAGAAAAGTTAGAACGGTTAGTCATTTTTATTAAAAAGGTAAGGGGTTGATGGGGCGACATGTGTTACCTGTGTGGGCGGTGGCGGCAGCCGCTATGTACCCTTGTGGGAGGGGCAGGGGTCGGTGCAGCAGCAAGCAGCGGCGGGCCGGGTGGGAGGCGGCCGGCGGCGGCGGCAGCAACGCGCGGCGACCGCCGCGCACCTACCAGTCTGCTGCTGTAATTCCAATCACGCGTCTTCTCGAGCGGTTGTAGTCGCATGCTGCGCGAGCGCAACGCCGGTTGGCGAGCAAGGATCGCGTATGTTCTGCTCCGCCATCTTGTCGCGGCGTCACTAGCGAGAGAGATGCAGAAGAGAGAGAACGCTCAGTCAACTCGCTCACGTACTAGTTTCGTGACAGGCGTGGCCAGCAGTGGAAGGGAGGAGGATGAGGAGTGGGGGGAGGAGGAAAGAGGGGAGGAGGACAAGAAGGACGAGGAGGAGGATGAGGAGGGGAGAAGAGGGAGGAGAAGGGGAGGAGGAAGGGACAGTAGCAAGCACCAGGTTTCTTGACAGGTGTGGCAGTCGTGGAGGGGAAGAGGAGCAGGAAAGAGGACAGCGAGGAGGAGGAGGAGGAAGGAGGCGGATGGGGAGGAGGAGGAGGAGGAGGCGGACGGGGGAGGAGAGAGGAGGAGGAGAAGAGGAGGCGACGGGAGGAGTAGGATGGAAAGCTATCACGTAGCGCTGGTTTCTGACAGGCGGGGCAGCAGTGGAAGGGAGACAGCAGCGGGAAAGGATGACGGGGGAAGAAAGATGGGGAGGAGACGGGAGAGAAAGAGGGGGAGGAGGAGGAGGAGGAGACAGGAGGAGGATGGACAGTAGCACACTACATTAGTTTAGTGACAGCCGTGGCAGCATGGAAAAGGAGGAGACAAGGAGGAGGAAGAAGAGACGGTGCAGGGGATGGAAGAGGAGATATGAAGGAAGAATGGGGACTAGGATGGAAATGTGATCACGTACCATGGTTTCTTGACGGCGCGCGGGGGGCGAGCTGGCGGGCGACGAGCGAGTCGCGCGTTCAGCGGCAGCGTGGTGAGGTTACCGGAGCAACGGGCGAAGGTTAACCGTGCAGTAGTTGCCCTTCAACACAAGACCTATCCGTCGGCAGCCCGCTCGTACGTCGACTTTTACACAGGATAGCTCAACATTCTGCTTGTAGTCCAGGGCCTGCAGCGAGACAGGACGCTAAGATCACGATCACGCACTAGGCGCACCCCCCGCGAGCAAGAAACATTCCCCCCCCCCGGGACGCCTGCCAGGCGATCGTGAGGCAAAATCACGATTCCGCAAATGTTACGTGGCTCCGTTATCTCGGGTCTCGCGCAGCCGTTCGCGTAGAATTAACCGCGGCGTGGAATTACCAATATTTACGACTATCGTCGAGTCTTCCATTGAATTAAAATTACTTTACTTACACTTATGAATCACATTTTGGATGTAACATACTAGTTAAAGCCGGCACTATGGGCGCATCCAAACGCTAATTCTCCAGTACTAACTAGACTAGCAAATACTTCATGATCATGCATAATCACACTACCTTAATGGCAAAATAAAACTCTGAGTTCCTCCATTTCAACTGCAACGTTTGCTACCGAGGTGGAGAAATCTGGTAATCTGGCGCCGAACGCCGACTTGTTTGCCAAACAAATTTTAGCCTTGTAAAGCGGTTAGGTGACATCACACATGTTTTTTGTCTTGCTAACACGACCGTACCGCTGAACGCGCAGACGCTGCACGGTTTCTTGAAGCCAACGCGAAACTGTCAACAACATCGGAGAATTTGAACAACATTGGAAGGTTATTTCAAATGACTTTTAATAAGACAGACGCGCATTGAAATTGGAGAACTAGAGTTTATCTGTCATAAGGTAGTATGATTCTGCATGACACAAAGTATTTGCTAGTCTAGTACTGGAGAAATTAGCATGTAGATGCGCATAGTGCGGCTTTAAACAAGTTAATAGACTCTAAAACAACTTTTGAAGCTGAGTTTCGTTTCTAAATGCACAACGTTTTAGACTCGTGATGGTCGTAGCCATCTGATGTTGAAAGCCGCGACGGAAAGCAGTTTGGAAGTGAAGCATAGTAACAATTGAGGAATCGCCACTGTGTGATTAGCGTGCAGTGGCCAGTACGATCTTCCATACGATTCTTGCATTATTCACCAGCTGAAATACTTCGATTTCGACATGACCAGATGAGAATTTCAAATACAGCTGGCAACTGACTTATAACGTATAATAAGAAAATAGTAAGATAAATGATAATGATAAAGGATGAATGAAGAATTATGCCCGGCGCACACGTGAGATATTTTACTCAAGTAAAATGACGGCACAAGAGTTATTTTACATGCTCACATTGTGAGGCGGATTTCGTTGAAGTAATTTTGACGCAACATGCAGTCATATACTCACAAGTGTGCGGTGATTTTTCGCTTAGTAATTTGACTCATAGCGTGACGATGCTTTACTTCCAAACTGCTTTCCGTCGCGGCTTTCAACATCAGATGGCTACGACCATCACGAGTCTAAAACGTTGTGCATTTAGAAACAAAACTCAGCTTCAAAAGTTGTTTTAGAGTCTATTTACTCTATTAACTTGTTTAAAGCCGCACTATGCGCATCTACACGCTAATTTCTCCAGTACTAGACTAGCAAATACTTTGTGTCATGCAGAATCATACTACCTTATGACAAAATGAACTCTAGTTCCTCCCATTTCACTGCACGTTGCAGGGCTCGAATTAACCGACGGTGCCCCTATCAATCGCCGTACTGCCCCTGAAAATCCAACCCGACCGACGGCAGTGGCCTGCCTTGCCCTTTTCTGTAATTGCCGTCGGTGCCTCTGCCTAGACTGGTTCGCGGCCGCACTGTTTGTCGCAGAGCGTGTACATTGTCTAGCAGAGCGTGAGGCCGTATACCAGTCTATCTGTCTATCCTTCGGCAAAAACAATAACGTGGTATTGCTGCCAACCGCTGCCAGTAGACGATCGATAAATTGTGCACCTGTGTATGCCCGTGGTAGAAC